TATGTTGGCGGGGGACCAAAACAACCTCGAAGCCCCCGGCGTCAATAAAAAGCTCTAGTTTAATTTTATGGGGGGGGTTTTTTTTTTTTGGTACCTATAGCTGAGAAGAAGAAGGAGAAGAAGGAGAAGAAGAAGAAGAAGAAGAAGAAGAAGAAGAAGAAGAAGAAGAAGGAAGAGCAGGAATAGCGGACCCCGCGAAGGGATGGCTGTTACATTCGCGGTTGCTGTTCAGCAGGGTGGGGGGGTCTTGGATGGAATGGAATGGGGAGAGACAGCGAAGGGAAGAGTTGAAAGGGGGAGTGGGAAGTGGGAAGTGGGAAACGGAGACGGAGAGGAAGAGTTAATGATGGGTGGAAGTGGTGGTGGAGAATTGAGGAAGAGGAGAATATCACTAAATGAGTGGTTTGAGTCGCAGGAGCGTTGGCTCTACTGACAGTAGTGGTAGTAGCTGTAGCAGCAGCAGCAGCAGCGGTAGTATGTATGTCTCTAGCAAGTGGTTGAATATAAGTGTACCAAGCAGCAGCTGGTCGCAGCGGCGGGAACAGACAGTTGGGCGGTGGGCGGTGGGCGGTGGGCGGTGGGCGGTGGCAGCACGAGTTGCAGCAGTGGGCTGCTCTCTAGCTCTCTCTGTGGTCTCTTCCCCCCTCTCTCGAATGGTCATGTAGGAATTATCCTCGCCAGGTTCGTTTGTTGTCTGCGTCGTCTCTTGGGGGGGGGGGAAGGCTTGGTCCTGTTGCAGCTCGCTCTTTCCCGCTCGCTCCTCGTTCTATCAAATCAATGCGGGCTGCGGCGCCGGATTATCTATTTCCAATGGCTATCCTAGTCCCAGCTGTACCCGTGTCCTGGGAACTTTCTGTCACGCACCGTATCACGAGGAGCGCGTTTGATGACTCAGCTGGGCGCCAACACCCAATGCGGTAGTGTTAGCGAGAGATAATCAACGGTGGGATGGAGGGACCAGTTGGGCAGTTTTCGTGGTTGGGCAATTGAGTTTGGGGTCATCGGGTTGGGGTATCGGGCATACATATAGCACCTAGGGACCTGACGATCTACATGTTAAGGGAGAATTAGGTAGAAAGACTGATGAAAAAAATTAGGTAATTTCAATGACGCAGAAGGACAAAGGAGGGATTGACGGTGAACTTCCACTTTTGGTCGTGGAACGGTGACCAATATGCACCATCTGTGCAAATTACTCGGCCTCTCCCCACTATTTCTGCCTCTACTTGATGCTTATCCTTGTCATGTTTTAAAATACATCCAAAATCCATTGGATGCCATAATGCAATACGACTTCAGGGCAGTTGTTGTTGTTGTTGCTTACTTCGTCATTCCATCCTTAGCTAACTGACGGAGCTGACTCAACAATATTACCTAAGATAATCTTTTCCTCCAACTCCCGGCGCTCAATAGAACTGGAGAGAGGGCGGGTTTTGCGCCGCATGCGGGTCCCACGAGCAACGTGACTGATCGACTCTAGGATTATCCCGCACTCTCATTGGCTATAGCTAGTGATTTCTTACTGCTAGACAGATCATGTGATCTCCATATCCGCTGGGGATCTTGACTGTCGAAAGGGGGGAGAGGAAAATGAAATTAATTATAATAGCAGCAAGTACACATATGTACGCGGACAAAGGATGCTCCCCGGGGTATTAGATAGCATATATATAGTATAGTAATTGACCGGAGAAGGTGCGCGCCGTTTTGGTGGTACCATTATATAATAAATTCAATTCCAAAAGAACTCCACTCCCATATCATAAATATCTAAATCAAACTGAGCCTCTCCACCTGTGTCTTCTCTATAAACACGTACCCTTGCCATGCAAAAGAAAGAAGAAATAAAGGGAGAACAGGGCAACAGAGTAGGGAATAAACGTGGAAAAAATTATCTCATCTCATCTCAATCTTCCGGCGGCAGCTCGTCCTCCAGATACCGAACAAGCGACACCCGCATCTCCGTCGTCTCATTCCCCCGCAGCACATCGCTCACAAAATGTGCTTCGACTTGCATTTGGACCTGTGGGAAATTTGTCAGTAAATACTTGAGGTGGCACGCATGACAAAAAAGGCAAGATGAAATGAAACGCCGCAGAACCGTAGCCGCAGCCGTAGAAAATAATTTTCTTTTTGGTGCGGCACAGATAGATGTAAATATAGAACAAGGGACATAGCATATATATATGTAGATACAAAAATACATAGATGAAAAGATAAAATAAATAAAAATATAAACAAACTCACCATCTCCAATGCCCCTCTAAGAACCCCACACAAGATATTCGAAAACCACAACTCATCCTGCGCCCTTCCATCATCGGGCAACTCCACGAAGTCCGCCAGCGGATTCTCATCAAAGATGAGTGAGAAGGACTTATTGTCGCTCGTCCAGTTTGCGATTGTCGGCGTGATGTTTAGGAATATTTTAAAACCAACCTGCACACGTCCCGAACAACAAGTTTCGAAACAGTTGCAGTTAGCAACAATATATAGCGCCAAAGAAAAATAGTATCAGGGGGGAGGGGGAACTCCGGGAAAAGGGTTTCTATGTCCATGTCCCACATGAAATGTGTATGTGTATGTGAATGTGAATGTGTAAAATGTACAACTAACCTTCGAAATCATATCCGCCGTCTCTCGAAAATTCGCACAGCGGCCCGTATTCGATTTCGCCAGGTAATCTTCTATAAGGCGCATGCCGATGTTATAGCCCATCCTATCTAGCTGCTTATTTACTTCGGCGTAGTCGCTGTCATAGTCGTTACAGAGCTGCGCGACAATTGTGCCGTAGGTCAGGGTTACGAGTTCGGCGTTGACTTTGTCGACTCTTGTCCTGGGGGGCGGGGGGTGGATTGTGTTAAAAGGTAAGGTCGACGGGAGCATGGAGGATGGAGGATAGATTTTGCACGGGTTTGGGACTTACTTCCATGTCCTGGGAAAAGGGGGTGGGAGAGGAGGGTTAGCTTGGATTGGATTGGGGTGGAATGCTTTTGCGGGAGAGGGTATTGGGGGAGATGGAAATACAGACTCTTCTCCTATTCTTGCGGTTTTGGTGGAGGCCATGTTGGCCTGTATATGGGGGAAATGTAGCGTTAAAGGACTCCGATATCTGTAAGAACGTTGATAGGTAGACGCGGATGGATTGAGAGAGTCCTCGCTAGCTGTCAGTTTGGCCGATGGACACAGCTACCCATGTATATAGGTCCTTTGCAACGTCCAAGGAGAGATATAATTTAGTTTGGGAAAATATATTCGACGTTAATAACGAGGTAATATAGTAGCTGGAATGTCACACATCACATCGTATCATATCATTCATCATATAGATGTAACTGCTGGTGGATTTGAGGGTTGTTGTGGTGACATGGGAGCAATGATGGATTGCATGAATGCGAGCGCAGTTTCGCTGATTGCCCGTATAGGGATGCGAGAGGTGTGGCTCATTTCGGCGCTAAATGGGCCCTAGCCGCGCTCAAATCAACCACCAAATATTTGCGAAACAACCACCAGAGGGTTACAAAACTTCGAACCCAATCGCCTTTTGAACTCACGCTGAAAGCAGTCGAATTCCCCCTTCTGCTGGTTGGCAATTTTATATAACCGGTTTTGCATTAACTGTTGCTCAATATCATATCTCCTTGAATTTATTATAATTTGACAATTGCACTGGAACTTATCCAACGGTCTTTCTCCTATAACTATCATCGAATTTAGCCGGCTTAAGCTCAAGCCCTCACAACACATTTCCTTCCCTTGCAGCACGATTGCTGCTTGTCGCGTGAGGCATGATGTCTGCTGAAAAGCGCCCGGCGCAGGACTCCTTTGGGTCCACGCAGCTGGTCAAGCGGCCGCGGTCAGATGCGACTCCAGGAACTGGGAGCGCAGTAGCTGTTGTGAATAATTCGACGCAAAATGGTGCTTTAATACAAGCTGTACGTTTGACAGTGTGGGATTCAGAGATTATTCCTTTTGTTTGTTTTATTGGCTTAAAGACATGTGATTTGAGGAGCTGACGGGTTTCGTTTTGGAACTATTGGCAGATTCCCCGGACGAGTGGTCTTGAAGCTCCCATTATGGAACTTACAGGTGCGTTTGGTGATTGGGATCGAAAGTTATGGTAGGTTTTTGTTGGACGATTTTGCAGTGGTGCTGATTCATGCGGAATCTTGAATAGGACATTCCGGAGAGGTTTTTGCCACGAGGTTTGATCCTACAGGTCAGAACATTGTGTCTGGTTCAATGGATCGTTCGATATGTACGTGTGTTCTTACTCTGGCGGCGGCTATCGCAGCAGGCCATTTTACGAAATCTAGTTGTGTTTGCCCTTGAGGGAAACTAACCCGTGTCCTGGATAAATAAACCCACAGTGCTATGGCGAACATACGGTCAATGCGAGAACTACGGGGTAATCACAGGGCACAAGGGAGCAGTCTTAGATCTACACTGGTCGCGGGATTCCAAAATCATATTCTCAGCCTCCGCAGACATGACCCTAGTCAGCTGGGATGTCGAATCAGGCCAACGAATACGTCGCCATGTCGGCCACGAGGAGATCATCAATTGTCTCGATGTTAGCCGGCGGGGTCAGGAATTGCTAATAAGCGGCAGCGACGATGGGTGCGTGGGCATCTGGGACCCGCGACAGAAAGATGCGATTGATTTCCTCGAGTCGGAAATGCCCGTCACGGCCGTTGCGTTGGCGGAGGCCGGGAACGAGATTTACAGCGGCGGCATCGATAACGACATTCACGTCTGGGATATACGAAAACGCGCAATCACGTACTCAATGCTGGGACATACGGATACGATATCGTCCCTGTCGATCTCGCCGGATTCGCAAACGCTGCTTTCCAATTCGCACGATTCGACGGTGCGGACGTGGGATATTAGGCCATTTGCGCCAGCGGATAGACATATTAAGATCTATGATGGTGCGCCAATTGGGTTGGAGAAGAACTTGATCCGGGCTAGCTGGAATCCGACTGGGGAGAAGATTGCGGCTGGCAGCGGAGACAGAAGTGTCGTTGTGTGGGATACTAAGTCGGGCAAGTTGCTGTATAAGCTGCCCGGCCATAAGGGAACGGTGAACGATGTGCGGTTTTCACCCGGCGAGGAGCCTATAAGTAAGTCAAGAAAAGCTCCAAAATAGAAAGAAGAGCTAAACCCATGGCAAAGATTCTTCCACTTGAAATGGGTATTGCGGTTTTGCTAACACAGACTATCTCGTATCTCTAGTTGTTTCTGGCTCGTCAGATCGGAATCTTATGCTTGGGGAGCTTGGAAAATAAAATTGCATTATCAAATAGATACCTCTCTCGGTAACGGCGTTTGAATATTGTTTCAATTCCTCCCAAGTCCCGCCATATCGACATTCTAGCGAAGGAAATTATTCTCTCCAGACACCACGGCTTGAATCTACAAATGGTTTTTAATTTGGCTTGTGGAAAACCCGATACCATGCAGGAATTAATTGGCATTCAATAGAAATCCTTAGCGTTCGCGCTTCCTATATTTATTTCCTCTTTTCAATTTAGCAGCACTTGTGATTCTGTACAATATGATGTCGTATACCACCACCACTGTTCCACTGTTCACCGGATATAATTTTGCCCGCGCCCATGCAGTCTGGACGGGGACAAACGTCCCACCAAGCATCCTTGAAAATCAGACAGACGCCTTTCAAACTCCAGGAAAGTTACGAATAGAGGGATCACACACCCAGAAGTGTCATGTTTCTCCCTTAATATTCAGGCTCCTGGGTATGGTTGTGTTCTATGTGATGTTGCGTTATTAATAGATCACTCCTTGCTACCTGATGCTACTTAAGATATGTAATGGGGGGTTGTAATATTAAATGCCCCACTCCTAGAATATTGCCTGTCATGATGCTTCTCTTCAGAAGAAAATCTCAGAGTTCATTTGCTAATGCTTATTTCATTGAGAGAACGTAGAGATAGGAAAACGACTGTGGCATTGTCAGAAGCAAATCCATGTATTACTTATTTCCCCTTTTTGACTTGCAGGGTAAAACCTATCCGAAATGAGGAGTCAACTTCGTTTTAGTTCCTGTCTCTTGGGAAGATAGGCAGACTCTACATTTGCATGAGCTATTTTCCTTTCCTTTGATTTTTCTCTATCTCTTTTTCTTGTTGTTTCACATGTCATTCCCAACTAACGGCAGTAAAACTCTTCTTGCGTTTGGTAGGCTGTAGACGAAGTGCCGAAACCTCGATGAAGCACTGGGGGGGGGGATGCTGGCCAACAAGCGAACGTCCCAGCCTACGATCCGAAACCCACTTAAGACACGGCTGTTGTCATTATTCTAGGGCCCGCCTCCTGCACCAGATCTCGCTATTATTTTTCTTTCTGGTCTTCACAATCCTGCGTCCACGAAAAAGGCAATCTCTGATACACCGTCCGCTCCCAATGGACTGCATGAGGAGAGAAGATTTCCTAACATAGTTCCGTGGCAAGATGGGCTAGGCCGTGGATCGTCGTCCGCCGCCACCTCCTGGCCACCCCTTTGAGTGTCTGTGTTGCTCCACGCTTGCGTGGTAGTACCAAATATCCCTTTCTGCATGATCAAACTGACCAAAGCTTAGAGTTTGAGGACCAGCTTTTCATTCTCCGTCCTCAGCAACTTATAGGTCGTTACGGGTCTCTGTATGGATCTAGGAGTGCTGATGATTGATCAAGGAGGAGGCTCTCCTCTTTTTTTGCTTCTTTTCCTTCTGTATACACACCTCGTTTTAGTAATAGGTAGTTATTGAACAACTACTCGCATTCCCAACCGCTGGCCAAGGAGAGCGAAGTCCGGCAAATTCCCTCCTGTTCCCACTCATTCTTTTGTATACATTCATTCCTTTACTTGAGTCTTCTCTCTTTGACCACCACACGAATTGATTTACCATCCTCTACGATCTATTTCTCTCATTAATTTTGCGTTTGTTTTGAAGACTCCCATGACAAATATCGCCAGTCTGTATCTATTTCACAAGTGCAGCCTTCCAGTCGTTCTCATACCCTGTCTAGGAGCTTGATTCCGCGCTTGGCTTCCCGTTGGTTGGGTCTAAGGATTCATCACCGGTTGCTTTCAACATGCCTTGAGCTCCATCTTACATGGTCTTGTCTCCCACAATAATATATTTTATTTTTATCAATCGACTACCACTCGTTTTCCGTTATCATACCCCTTCTAGATCTTAGTGTGCTGTGCCACGGGTCCCGTCGCGGGTTACAGAAGGGAAAACTATCAGTCGCGCGTAGACCGCGACTTTTTATTCAACAATCATTGACGGCTTGACTGTCGGAGGGGAATACGAAGCCGGATACATTACGTGCGTGTGACAAAGGCATCATCGTTGTGGGGGAGTACGAAAGTCTTGATTCTCTCGTCCATTGGGGGCTTTTATATCTAGTTACCACTCCATGTATAAGGTCCCGTTTTCCCCGCACAATATACATTTTTCACGTATGATTTGGGGAATCAATAGAGCAGGGGATTAAGGAGAATTGCGATGGAGCCTTCTATCTGTTTATTAGGACGGCAGGAATCCCCAGGAACGAGATGGCATCATCCCTGCTTTCGTGCCCGAGTTGGGTCTTTCTTTACCGGAACTTCGAGTATTGGCGCGCAAAATGTGCCGCCTTTTTCAAAGCCTCCGGCACCTCGAATAGGACTGCGTCTGTTTTCCGGCGAAAGAGCTGATAACTCCCGACCACGGCAACATGGTAATGCTTCTAGAATAAGGAGGCCATCTACATCCATCAGTCCTTTCATAGACCGGCATACGCCGTCATCAGCTATGGACGTACAGCCGTCTGCCCTTTCGAGGATGGATATCGACGAAACTGGCCAGACGCAGGGACCCCTTTTACAAGATGTGAACGGTTCAAATAATAATTCATTACCGTCTGCCAGGGAAGCCGGACGAGCGTATGCGGGAACATGGATTGGACACAGAAACTGCGATAAGTCCAAATCGAACCGCTTTTGCTGTGGACCTGGCGTGAAGTGTAAGGAGGCGAGGAGAAAGCTGATCGATTGTGTCTTGGCTGGATTTCTCCTCATTGCGGTTTTCATCATTTGTAAGTGCTTTGAGCAATCTTTTATTTCCACTACCTTTGCCATAAACAATCAATAACTACTCTACCAAGTCAGGCGAATGTTGGATGACCAGGTCACATACTTACCAATTTGTCACTAGATATTGTCCTTTCTTTCTCCTTCTCCGTCTTAGGACGTGAATTTCATGTTGTGCTCATCTTAGTACTCATGCTCCTGGTGATATATTTCTCCCACTCCTTTATCCGTTTCCTCATGATCGCATGGCGGCAAGCGCCGCCATACGTTCTGCACATGGGAGAGAGAGTTGGCACGTCTGGATACGCCCAACCGGACCGACCCATACCCGTCATTCTGGCCCGGGACGAAGAGGATGTTATGGGCATGGATGTGCATGCGAACAACGCTACCGGCAGCAACAACTCGAATGGTCCCACGCCACCACCTCCTGCTTATGGTCTTTGGAAGAGTAGTGTGGTATGTACAGAGCAATCCAAATATCGATTTCATCCATTTCTTTCATTATTTCACTGATGCAACTCAAAAAATTTAATTTTAATATTTTCAAATTTCAAAATTGAAAACCCACGAAATTGTCTACGTGTGATTAATAATATCCTCTGCTCTAGAAAATAAATCCCAACCTTGTACATTGGCAACGACGCGAAGAGGCAGATGTTCAACGAAGTACGGAAGTCAATAGCGCCAACGATGTACCAAATAGGCCCCCGAGCTATGTGTCAGACGATGGAGTCCAGTACGTCCTTGACTTGCCGTCACAGCGTCAAAGGGAAACAGAATCATCGGAGTCACACCCACGTCCGCTTGCACGCGAAGACTCGGATATTCATCCTGCAGAACGATCGATATGGAAACCGTGAATATATAAAATGAGTGTTTTCCCTTTCCCTTTTTTTTCTTTTCTATTGAGTATCAACTCGAGTGCTTTGAATGCTATATTTCTCTTGATTTTTTCACATGTGGTCTATTTGACTGTGTTTTCTTCCTAATAATGATGCTGGCACTGGTGTCTGTTTTCGTTTTAGCTTTAGGAGAATAGGGGGTGAGGGTTGAGTTATATATAATGGGTGTTGGGAGGGAATAGGGGCGGGGGGATTAAAAACTGTATTGATGTTGGCAATTCTGTATAGTTACATAGCTCCGTTTAGACCAAATGGCAGAGACCAAACAAGGGGTTGCTCGGAGTCCATTATCAGGTTCCTAAAAATCAACACGAAACATATACTAGTACCGATATGCATGTATCAAGAGACAAGAAAAGAGAGAAGATTATATTTGATAATATATATTAACTATCTACCTAAATAAACAAAGGTGTTAAATTATTATTACTCATACCTGGAGCGTTGGGGTTTACAGTAGTTATCTAAAGATGTTTGAATGGGTTTAAGTCGAGCCCACCTTTTAAAACCATGATCAATTCAGAGTCACCCCAGCTATAAACCAGTCTACGGGCGAAGTCACAGTTGAACATGATTTCAAAGTCAAGTCAGAAAAATCGTCAGCCTGATTAATGACATCTTCTCATTAAAGCCACGCACGAGACACATCTCACAACACATCATCTCCATATACTCTTGATGATAGAGATTTTATCATATTCTCAGGATTCTTGCTCTTAACTAACTTGTAATTGTAACCTCTAATTCTTAGTTCTAGCCTAATCCTAATCTAAACTACCCCTAACTCTGGCGTTGAGGCCGGAAGTTGAAGAGGGAATGTATAATAACTAATTCTACGTTGCAGAGCAATGCTCATTTGGTCCTCCGTAAACAATGTTCAGCTGTGGGACGTTTGCCCCGGCACTAGTTTAACTAACTAGTTAGTTAGTGTTGGGGCCTGCTGATATAATCAGGGAGTAGGACCAGTTTTACTAACTGGATACTGTGGTCAAAGTCCGAAATATCTACAACTTTACACCGTTAAGCATCGATTTATATCCGAGCGCAACGGGCTTGCATATGGGACGGAATCAGTAGATATAATACCGTTTCTTTCTTTCTCTTTTCTTCGAATGAACTGGCAAACTCATACTCCCTGTACCCCTCGTCCAGTGTATCTGTACCGTTGATGAGTATCGGAGAGGCAAGAAACATTTTTGTTCGCCCAACACTATCAAGCAGGCGGCATTGTTGAGGGCACCGGAGATTATCCATGATATCCCAAACCTTTTACAATTATTCCTTTGGTCGTTGGTGATGCGCTCGAGATGTCGACATTATTCCCAAATGCCCGTCTTTCGTGGTGTTGCAGATTGGACGGTGGCGGTCTGGACGCTAGGAGCTATTGTAGCTCTCTCGTTATGGATTCCTCCAGTTGAGGGGATGAGAGGGGGACAGATTAGGGAGTTGAGGTATGCAAATATATCCATATATCTCTTCTGGGAAGCAAGGTGAATGTAGAGAATAAGCTGGCCAGGTTCGAAGATCTAATTTATGCACTTTTTTAATCTAGAAAAGAAACAGAACAAATGTTCTACCACGGTTACGAGAATTACATGAAGCATGCGTTTCCTGAAGATGAATTGAAACCAGTCTCTTGTGGCCCGTTAACTCGCGATCGTGGAAATCCTGCTCATGTTGACCTTAATGATGTTCTGGGGAATTATTCCCTGACTCTAGTCGACAGCTTGTCTACCCTGGCAATTCTGTCGTCCTCTCCACCATCTTCTTCGTCCGATTCGGTTTCAGATTTGGAAGCCTCGCGCAAGGCATGGAGATATTTTCAGGACGGAGTGCGGGATTTGGTTGAGTTGTATGGAGACGGTTCAGATGGGCCTGCTGGTAGGGGCTCAAAGGGAAAAGGGTTCGATTCAGACAGCAAGGTCCAGGTTTTTGAAACCGTGATTCGGGGGCTAGGTAAGCAGAATATAAGTCCAAACTTATCAGAAATAAAGCACTAGGAATATCTGAACCAACAATTGACCGTCTGTCACCTAAATAGGCGGCCTGTTGAGCGCGCATCTTTTCGCAGTAGGGGAATTACCCATCCGTGGGTACGAGCCCCCGGAAGACGAAGCCTCCTACGCGAAGCTATGGGATAAAAGCGGACATACGAAAGGCCAGCCTGGTATCCGCTGGGAAAATGGATTCGTTTATGACGGACAGCTGCTTCGTCTCGCGATGGATCTTGGGACCAGGATCCTTCCGGCTTTCTACACTGCAACGGGTCTTCCATATCCCCGCGTTAACCTGCGACACGGTGTTCCATTTTACACCAACTCACCTTTGAACGCGGAAGCAACACTAGAATCCTCTGACCCTATGGGAAATGCTCAGGGCAAACGGCAAGGGAAGTCTACCGGGAAACCTGAGGTCACAGAGACGTGCAGCGCAGGTGCTGGGAGTTTGGTTCTGGAATGTACAGTTCTTAGTAGGCTTACTGGCGACGGTCGTTTCGAGGAACTTGCGAAAAGGGCATTTTGGGCTGTCTGGTCCCGTCGTACTGATATTGGCTTGATTGGAGCCGGCATTGATGCTGAATCGGGGAAATGGGTGACCTCATATACTGGAGTATGTTGGACTATGTCTTAAATTTTACTTCGCTTGAAATTGCTGCTAATCGGTGAATTTTTGTGGCAGATTGGCGCTGGAATTGACAGCTTTTTCGAATATGCATTGAAGTCTCACATTCTGTTATCTGAGGGTGATCGCCCGTCGTTTAATATATCCAGCCCGTTTCATAAGCTGGATGATTATTACGCACCTCTCAGTGAGAAAGAGCATTCTCCCGATGCGTTCCTCAATGCGTGGCAAGAATCTCAGTCATCCATTAAACACCATTTATATCGTGGTTCCGGTTACCAATATCCTCATTATGTCCAAGGCGATATCATCACCGGAGCTACACGCGCCTTTTGGATCGATAGCTTAAGTGCATATTTTCCGGGGCTTTTGACTTTGTCTGGGGATGTGGATGAAGCTATCGAAGCCCATCTGTTACATGCTGCCGTTTGGACTCGATTTTCTGCATTTCCAGAGCGATGGAATGTTGCTACAGGAAACATCGAAAATGGGATTGGATGGTGGGGTGGTCGTCCCGAGTTTATCGAATCGACTTACTACTTGTACAGGGCCACCAAGGATCCATGGTATCTCTATGTTGGAGAAATGGCCTTGCGGGATATCAAACGAAGATGCTGGACCAGGTGTGGCTGGGCTGGCCTTCAAGATGTTCGAACGGGACAGTTAAGTGATAGGATGGAGAGCTTCTTCCTTGGAGAAACTACCAAATATCTGTTCCTACTTTTTAATCCTTCTCATCCTCTAAATGACCTTGATGCTCCGTTTGTTTTCAGCACCGAAGGTCACCCCCTTATCATACCGAAGTCAACGAGGAAATCGACTAGGAAACCGACTAAGCTAGTAAAAGCCCCGGCCAGTGATACACAACGGAACGCAAGCCGAGAAACCTGTTCGGTGCCTGCTTTATCTCTGCCGTTTGGTGCATCCTCTGTTGTTTCGCGACCCGATGTTTTTCACGCCGCGAGCCTCGCTAGACTACATCTTATGCCCTCACGACCGAAAGTTGATTCCCCGATCGTTGAATATGTTGTTGATCATCCAAGCATCTCAATGTCTGATTTAATCTCACCCTCAAACTACACGTACTTCCCGTGGACTTTACCGCTGGAGGTCATCCCACCAGGTGCAACGAGTGCACCGATGGCTGTCAGGCCAACTCTTGACCTTACGTTCCCGCTGCTGGGCAACACGATTTTTACCCCTGGATCTCTAGAAAGAGTTCAAGATGGGATCCTTGTGAAATCTATTGGCGGGCTTCGACTGGGCATGATCCAGGATGCTCCATTATTTATAAATGGATTGCCTGCGAGCACAGAAGGCTTTCGAGTCCAGGTTATTAACAACATCCCTCTTGGAAAAGATGAGAAGGTTTACATCTCGAAAGAGGTAACCGATATCCTGAACTCTGATGATCCCAACTTCAAACGGGTGCAGGATTCGACTCTATTGGACATCGTCTTGGATCTTAAACCAGAAATCGCAGACAATAGTAATACATCAATTCTTACTGCCGCCATAAGCCGCCAAGCCCTCATCAAAGAGTTGGATGATCTTCACATCCCCTTGGACGCATCCAATATGAAACTAGCCTTCGCCTCTTTCATGAATCAGGTTACTTCCCTTCTTCGCGATGATTCCGACTCATCTACACCAAAACCCTCTGCAATCCGGCAACCTTCCATCCGTATGTGTGTTCCCGCAATCACCTCCACCGGCATAGGCTCAACTGCCCTGCCCGATGTCGAAGAAGCCATCATCACGGCAGTATCTATGTCAAAATCCAACAAGGGCAAGAAGTTTCTTAATCGCCTTCCATGGTCCTCTATCTATCTTGCAGATGAACTCTGCAACCACCGTCTCCCCTCCTCAGTTCCCAAAACCCATAATGTCATTGTCATAAAACGCGGTGGATGTACCTTTTCTGATAAATTGAAAAATATCCCTTCCTTCCGCCCTTCACGTGTCTCCCTAAAGCTCGTAATTATGGTCTCTTATCCACAACCAGGAGATCATCCATACCCACTCCCCACCTCTTCCTCCCTATCATCAGCCTCAGATATGGGTCAAAACACCGCATCTCCCACCATCATCATGGAATCTGAGGATCCGCACCTCATCCGCCCGTTGCTCGACGAAATACAGACTGTGGTCGGTGGAATACCACGCCCCAACCCGTTAAGCGTGGTTCTTGTCGGTGGCGGTGACGAGACATATAACTACTTTAAACATGCCGTGGGTGTAGGTCTCCGAAGACGATATACGATCACGTCTCAGGGGATCCCAATTGGCAATTTGATTGTGATATAAGTGTCTATTTGTATGTCGGCTCTAAACCCCGAAGTTGCTTTTTATGATATATGTGGAATATGCTATCAGGTTGGTCGATTTATGCTTCCTATTTCTTGTGGATATATATATATATCTATATATAATTTTGGTTGCGAATTCTATTGTGTTCATAGATCTCTTTTGTAATTGGTTTTCCCCCACCTGTAACAGACACCACTACAAACTGATGTGTTTTTTGGTCAACGTCTGAATGGATTAGCAATACAAATCTATGAAAATATATCAACATACAGTACAAAATCTCCCTTTCCCCAGCCGGCGTTACCGAATATAGTCAAGTTTTGTCCCGAGTTCCTTTTGCAATAACATAAATCCTCCGGATTATCTCAAAGAAGTACATGCATCCTCCAGTCATGGCGGTACTCCGAGCTACTTCTACCTGATCGATTCCGCGAGCAGTACGTGTATTATGCATTGTTTCGCCAAACGGATTATACATAGTGGGTCGTTTAGCTCAGAAGGAGATGCTGGATCAGTTAACTATGTTCCGGCCTGAATTGGAATTCATGCTCTATATAACGCATGAGCTGCGGTTCTGCGAAGTGGTGAAAACCTGAAGGGAATGACGAAGATTGATATTTTGAAAGATTTTTACTATGAAAAGATCTATTTGCCTGTTTACAATGCTTTAGTTAAATAATTTACCAAACTGCTAAAATCCCTCAGACGTGCAAGCCGTCTTGGGCGCGAAGGAGATTTGTTAATAGGATATGCATTTCTTTCTTGGTTTGTGCTTGAAATGTGATTTGTCTAGAATGGTTAACTATTCTTGATTATCCGTGATTAGCTATTAACATTAGTTATATTGAATAACTAACTACTTACTTCATAGGCTAGCTTGGCGAATCAATTCAGGAAATGTTCTGTTAAGCTCGACCCAACGACCCGCCAACTCACAGTGGTTACAGATCTTTTTCTTCTTCTTTTTATCTCTTGGCCGCTACATGTTCACCATATTGTTCTCTGATCGTTGGCAGCAGTCTTTGCTTTTATCTTCAGCTTCGAAAGAGCGTCACACCTTTGCTCCCACCGTCCCCAACAGATTTCATGCATATGTTTCTTATGGTCGTTTAACTCCCTCATTGCCTGGGAATAGAGTCCGAGTCACCGACTAATCCCCTCCACTGCCTCTCGATATGGTCCTTCATCTGTCAATCAAAGGAAATAGGCCGAGTCGGAGGTAGATTTCCCCGACCCAAAAACCCTTAGATGGCTCTGCGTAGCCAGCTCTACATGGTTCCTGAAGAACAAAGAAGTTGGGGAAGCTGAATTATCTAATACTGCAAATGATTGTTCCCAAGGCTGCTCCTTGGACGCATGCGAACCGAGAGGTTAAAGCCACTGATGGCTCCTCCAAAGTCGCCTATTAAACAAGGGTAAAGAGACTCTGCTTTTGATGGTGTTTTCTATTTTGGTGAGATACAGGGTTGGTGCAATGCATATCAGGGTTCCTTTCTGCTCTCATACGACGGGCAGTTGTCGATTGTTTTTCCTGCGGATTGAAAATTATCTTAACCACCGATTATCTTGACGCAAGACCCTCGCCCGTGCTTTTCCATCTGGTGGGCCATAACGATGTCTATGTGAGATGGTGTATTGCTTCAAACAGAAGAAATGTGATGTCTCAGTGATTGATCGAGTTATTTGATTGATCTGCGGGTTATTGAAACGCTTCTTCATCACGGTTTTCTCTTCTCTCTCTTTTGCTACTTAATATGTTTGATATCCCAACGGAAATTAGGGCAACATGGCCGACGCACTGAACTAAAAAGATCCAGAAATCCGCGACCCCGGGCTGATTTTGTCGTTTTGTTGTTTCCTGTAAACTGGCACCATCATGGTGGCATTGAGGTAGTTACTACACGAGAACGAGGGGAACATTTAGCTTCGGGATGGATGACGTTTGGATTCTTCTAACAATGATACGGTCCAAAACGTCTAGCAGCGATTGGAATATTTTTTTCTGGTGGGGATACTTGTCGTGTCTAGTTGTATGGCAAAAATAAATTGCTAGTTTTATCAGAAGAAGCGATGAACAGCATGAGGCGTATCCCTTATGGATTATGGGCATCGTTGAAATTGATCTTGGCATTATTATATATGCATCTGCGCATGCATTACGACCATTGATATCGTTATAAATGCCGAAACTTTTGGGAAACCTGTCACTCTCTAGATCTAGATCTCTCCGCCTGCCAATACCGATTTCCCTACACTCGATCGCTCCATTTGACAAAACCCGGTTTCTGAGCAATCCTACAGCCTACAAATCCAGATACCAATGGCAAGACCTCGTGCGGCAAAGATATATGCATCTACAATAGACGAACATGGAACAGCGAAATCAACTGGATCAATGCAATCCTCTACCACTAACAACAATGCAGAGTTTAATGGCACATCCATGCCCACTTCTGTGTCCGCAGTCGGGTCAGGGTATGTCTCGGTTTCACAAACCAACCGCAATCAGTTGTCGCCCTCTCTTTCCAGCCATGGCCCCGTTTGTCCCCAAAGCCACCACTCTCGGAATATTTCAGGCTCCATAGGGAGCTGCAGCGATGATCCACAAACAGAAAGGCGGAGTCAAAGCACTCCCGCCAGGAGTTCCGGTAGGGACAAATTTTCTCGATGGTATCCATGAGCAAGGCGCCTACTCCTGGGAACCAGGAAGAGCTCCTCTTGAGCAGGACAGGCATAGGCAGCAAGAACGGGAAATTAGTGGTGGGGGAAGAAGGCAATGATGGTCACCAGATAGGGGTGTTTTTTTACGAATTTTCATATAATGGATTGGCAATTTTCATGTGCAACTTGGAAAGGAGTGTTGTTCCTTCAGCGGAGGGCGTTAGCTTTAGGCTATGGGCATTCGTTTTTACAGAGACGGAGCACACATGGATCCAAGGTCTGTTAATACTTCGTATTTTCCCTTTCTGCTTCCTGACACGTGCATCCACATGTGAGTTTACAGCCACTTCTGCACCTATGAACAACGCATTTACAAATGAAAACTACCAGTAAATCTTCTGATAAATTGCATTTATACTTTTCCAGCTGCAAAGATTATGACGTCAATTATCATCTTGTGTCGAATCCCTCTGTCACAACATTGAAAACCCCCCACTCTGTTATAATCCACGTTTATTTCTTCCGAGGCTCAAATGCTTTTTCGCATCTCAACCCATGAGCAGGGCATACTTTGTAGAGAGTTTGCAGGGGCAAATAAGCTTAAATATCCGCCAATCAGAAATATCTGCTGGGTTGTATGTAGGTGCAGCATGTGTTGTGTTTAAACCTATTTTGAACATAGCTTTCAGCAGTACTTGACCATCATATGTTTATGCATGCCTTTTTTGAGGTGTAATGGTACAGTAATCCCAGGAACTGACAAGGACTCAATCAAAGCGTTAAATTCCTTGATATACGATAACTGTGCTAAGTGAATCCTGTTAACTGCTTCCCGTACGCCCTTTTGCATGCTACAAACCATGTAACTATTATAACCCAGATCTGTTTTATGTTCCCGTTGCGAAATACGTGAGAGAAAAATATTCAAGAGAACGTGATATCCAAGAGGGGATTCAATGTCGAGATTGGGAGGATGCGCTCAGAAACATTCTACACAAATCTCCCTGGGAGCACTACAAGACGGCTGGAAATGGAAAATATCAACCTCCTATTCTTGTTCCTTCATATTAAATGAGACCAAAAAAGCCAGTACCAACATACCCTCTGCTAGCTTGGCCCCAGCGAAACTCCAGGTTTCGATGCTGCACACATCTTGAATCAATTCCATTCATCGTGAGAAGGATGGTCAAACGTTGACGCCATCCTTCATGATCTAAAAAGCATGATTTTGCAATCCTTCTCTCATTCGTTAGGTTGAGAACTAATGAAATGCTTTTACCATGTAACGTAATCCACCACCCAACGCCCGTTTACACCCAACGCCCGCCATTTCGCCATCACTATGATGAAATATTTTCAACGTTATTTCAACAACGCAATTAGATTTTAAGATGATATATTATAGGATGAAAATATACATAGAAAATTACATATAAAAATATATACCTAATTCAGTAAACATTTGTTTGGCTTAATAACTCGCCCAGAACATGAAATCTTGGGTGGAGGCAGATTCAGCGAGCAAGCAGTCATTAAACCAGTAGAAGATTGCAATATCGTCATATCCCTCTGGCAGTGGATCCGTGGGCACCCTGGCAGGGCTCTGAAAACGCGATTTAGCCACTCTTTGCGAAATCAAGGGTCTACTTTCCCGATTAGTAAGGTGATTTTTGAATTCTTCAATCATCTTCTTATTCAATCGTGATTGTAGCCGTACGGCAGCTCATTCTTCCTTTTCTTTTTGCTCCTGAGCCTTTTTCTCATCTCTAAGCTCCTTGTCAATCTGCCGTTGAGCAGCTCTTGCGGCCTTATCCATTTCCTTTTGCTGTTTTGTGGCATGGCGAGCTGCCTCCCGCTCCATCCTCTGCTGGATGATATCTGCCTCCTTCTATTCCTTAAGAATAGTGCGTTGCAGCTTTGCATCCTCCTTACGAGCTTGTTCATCCTTTTTGGCAACCTCTGAGGCCGCCAAATTCTCGCGGATGCTCTGCACCTTTGCCGGCGAGAAGAACTGCGCCAATGATGGATTCAAGGGATCTAGCAACCCCATTGCCCTGCCACGCTTGCGACGTCTCCTCTCTTGATTAAGAGCTTTTTGAAGCTGCCGATTCTCTATTAAAAGAACCTCTTTATCAAGAGCAAGATTTTCCCCTGCACGGATCACCCAGTTGAGATCATTAGATATTTGATGCTGCTGTTGCTTGACTTGCTTCAGCAATTTCCGCAGGCCAACAATAGAAGTAGGTGTTCTTGGTTGATATCTTGCGTCGGGGGGGGGGGGGGGGGTGCAAGGTCGTATTTGAAGCTTTTTAAGAACGCGTTCCGGATCGAATGGATGTAGGCCAGTAGCAGCAAATGCAGCTTCAATATTTGAAGATGTAACTGTCTCCTTCCACGCAGTGTCAAAAAGCTGCCAAAACGACCTCTTTGTAGTGCGTATGAATCCCATTCCAGTTCTCATTCGTTCATTCAGTTGTTTGGAATATGATTTACCCAATGGTCCAAATATCCCAACATCTAGCGGCTGTAATCGGTGTGTAGAATGGGGAGGAAAGACAGCGAGTAGAATTCGATTCCGATCTGCGTAATTGATGAATGCCATATTAACATGGGATGAGTGGCCATCCAATATAAGAAGTCTATATCCGCGGCCTGCCTTCTTTTTTGTAAGAGGTTCAAAGATCTTCTTTAACCACGTTAACCCATATTCATCGTTGCTCCACCCATTTTCTGAAGCAGCGAAGTAGGCCTGATCCTTTTCACTATCAAAATCTTCGAGCCAAGTATCTTGCATATCTCTTGATTCCCCTTGATATATGAGAGCAGGTGGGAGCGAAGTTCCATCTGCGCAAATTGAGGCAAGTAGTGTTATGAATTCTCGACTGCCATCCTGGCTGGCACCTATCATACGGCCCTATTTGAGCGAATTAATCGATACAATACGTTTGAGGGTGTGAATGAATCCTAATAGGAATCCTTTCTCATCAAAGTTGTAGATATTCGCAGGTTCAAGGTTGTATTTCGTGATTTTTGCCTGCAGCTGAAAAATTAAGATAAATTAGCAAGATGAGAATTAAAAAAGCAGTATAAGAAAGAAATCCATTACAAGATCAAAATAATGTTTGAAGTATGCAGAATTGTCTGCAATCTTGCATTTTTGGCCAATATTTCGCAGGTAGAGCAACTTGATCACATCCTTGTGGCGCTCGCAGAACTGAGCCACCCAGTTGACTCCAATAGGTGCTTTTAGAATCTCAACAACAAGATTATGAAGGATTTGGGGCGTACAAGGGAAACTGCGATCTGCCAATTGATTGATATGAAAAAGGAGTTGTTTTTCTTGCGAATCAGTGAGAGCTTTGCAGTGGATAGAGCTTGCTTCCTTTCTTGACATTTGAACGCCTCTATAACGCCTTGACAATGTATATCAGCTGATTCCATATTTTTTGGCAGTTTTAGTGTAATTAGGCGTTAGTTGCGCGTTCAAATCATCAATCGCGGCTTGTATAACTGCTTCGTGGTGCATGTTGTGGGTGGTTAAAGATGAATGAAAAATGAAGATTTGAGCGGGCGTTGGGTGTAAACGGGCGTTGGGTGGTTGATTACGTTAGTTAATCTCTTCAATGAAAGCATACCCTGTCCCTACATTGGATGTCAGTTTTGAGTTGTTTAGCACAACTCACTCTAAGTTTTCTTGCTTAGGTTTCTTCCACAGCTTATGTCTCCTTAATTCGGACTAGTCTATTGTTGCATGATAAATCGTTGAACCCGACTTTTGATGTTCTTGTATCCATTGGGAATAGGGTGATTGAATGATACTAGAAACTGTCGGAGGGCAACTGAATCATATGTATTCAAGCACACTGGCTTTGCTCACTTGGGGCCTAGTTATATCCTTGGCATTAAGATCTTCCTCATTAGCCTTTCTAATTTTTCCTAGGGTTTTCAATTTTTACCCGCTTGAATATCGCGTCGGCACCTATCTACCCGTGGCTCTGAGGAATCTCTCCTTTCGTAGCCTTATTGGCTTGATTGACGGGTTTCCGCCTTTGCAGCAGAAAGCCAAATCAAAGGCTGAATTCTTTCCCTTCGGCACACTCATGATCATGAGGAACTGCTTTGTTGCAATTTCCACGAGTAATAGCTGACGGTTTCTCCGGGCACTGATACTTTAAGTGGCCAGAATAGCCTTTTGACCGAAGAGTTTCCCCACAAACTGCATGTTTTCATCCGTGAACTCGAGGCCAGTGTAGCCATACTGGAACATGGACCAACGGGGAAACATTCCAGAAACACCTGGCTGCACACGGATTTTCTCCTTTACGATTGCATAAATGGTCCTTACAGGGTTTTGTTGCCTAGCTTCGTATTAGGCGTGAAGGGATATATTTGTGATCGTTAAATGAAAATGAGCTTGGACGCTGTTTTACACAGAGTAGTAATTTCTGGGTATGCCTTCACCGGACGCATGTCTCCCTTTACCCCACTTAGTGGTCAGAGGCGCCAAGGTGGTGGCATGTGCGAAAAGGCTCACCAGCTGATCCCCTTATTGTGGGAGCGTTGATTGAATCATTGTGCTAAAGGGGGTCGATTTTTGGAAGAAGTTGGTCCATATTCCTCACACCCGTCGGGTTATTCTTTGCAAATCGAAATCGACAGAACATTTCCTTCCTTCAATAACGATCGTTACACTATTGTGTGATTTGAGAAGAAGTGAATGGCGAATTAAAATGAAGCTCATCCTGGCCTGCTGGCGGAAAAGTGAAAATTATCATGGTCTCGGCCTTCGAAAAAGTCAAACACACAGCAAAAGATTTACACTTGCCGAGATTGAAGTCGTGATTTGACAAGATTCGAGAACAATGTGCCAGGAATTGATAACATGCCCACGTTTTCTGAGACTGCAGTTATTTACTTACCGCGTGAGCATTGACACTCCACGTAGTTCAGTCGTGGAGGTGTTACAGGATCTACCCAGACCAGCAGTCGGGTGGTCCTATTTCCCTAGTATGAAACTTCTTCGTCATGTTTTTGAATATAGAGCTGAGGAGTGTTGGGAGAAACACCGCCTAGTCCGAGCCCAAGATCTCACTCTATGTTGGGATAAGTTTGATAACCATGGATGTTCTATCCTCCTAACTACTTCATTTCTTACATTTCCTCCTGAGTTCTCTGAAATAATGAGGATTAATCTTCTTCTCAAAAGAAAAACAAAGCCGCTAGGAACTTATTTTCCAATTTCAATGCCAGCCATTCATTTCGATCAGTTCCAATTTCACCTCTCTGAGTATGTCGATTGGTCAAATAAAACAAGACCAGGATGTCCTGCACACATCCAGTGCCGTTATTGATGCTGGAGATCGTCCGAGCATCTCCAATGAACCCAAAAATGCCCGGAAGGACTTGGTCACAACACGATACCTAGAAGAATTGAACTTTCGAGAAGCCAGTCCTGACAAAGCTTTCTTCGATGGCGCAGGTTTACGCGAATTGGATCCAGGTATGTTACTCTGCTGTTTGATAATCTATCGTTCAACCCAGTACAGGCTAACTTTGCGCTTGTAAGATCTGGTCACTCTAAATCCAGACTCCACGGAAAACCCTCGTGTATTAACCCCTATATGTTTCCGCAGAATATTCTGCTGTATCCGGCATTTTTAACTTGAGATAGAATTGGTCCCGAAAGGCCAAGTGGGTGACTACAGCCCTAACGGGAGGGTATTGTTTTCTACCTACATTCTCCAGTTAGCTTCACAATCTCTGTTTATTGAACGGATTTCTCTTATATAACTCCAGGTACCATATTCGCTCCGGCACTGCTCCTCGTGATGGCCGACCTTGGCATAAAAAATCCCACTCTAGGTGCCGCCCAAATCTCCATTTTTGTTTTTGCATTTTCCCTCGGTCCTCTTTTTGCTGCCCCTCTGAGTGAGATTTACGGAAGAACCATCGTCGTTAGTCTAGGCAATGTAGCGTTTATAGCCTTCTCTTTGGGAGCCGGCTTTGCCCAAAATGTAAACTCCTCCTGGAGCCCCACAGAAGTATGTTGTCATTGGGCTGGCTAACTAGGAGGCAGGCAGTTCAACTTGCTGTGTGCCGTTTCTTTGCTGGAGTTGGAGGCTCTGGTGGGCTGGCGGTTTTTGGCGGCGTTCTTGCAGATATTTGGGACCTAGAAGAACGAACTAAGGCTTCCGCCTTGATGTCCACCTTACTGTGAGTTCCTACGTCCAATGAATATGTAGGTATTCTATTCTGACACCACTCAGAATTTTAGGGCCTGTTGTTGGCCCAGCCTGTGGTGGCTGGATCTCCGAGCGAGCTTCGTGGAGATGGACCTGTTGGGTTCCGGTAAGGATAATCTTCCCGCAGCTCTTCTGTCATTGCTAATACCTGGCTAGGCTACGGCTGCTGCATTCTTACAGGTTGCAGCCCTTTTGTACATGAGAGAGTCATATGCTCCAGTACTTCTTGAGCGGAAACTTCTCAAAAATAGACGCTTACGCCCACAAAGGGAGTTGTATACCGTAATGGATTTACGCCTGGGGAGTGTGCCGAGAAAAGGGGCAGGGTCGCTTATCTCATCCGCTATTCGCCCGGTCATGTACTTACTTGTTGATCCTGTTCTATTTTTACTCTCACTGTACTTCTCGTCGGTGTTTGGGGAAGTATATCTTCTTATTGTAACAGTATGCAGAGAGTGCTCACTCTTACCAGCCTCGAGTGTATAAAAACTGACCTCATCCAAACATTTAGTTTCCAGAAATCTTCGGGGAAGGCTACGGCCACTCTGCTGGAATTGTCGGTGTTGATCTCCTTGCCCAGGGGGTTGGAAATATGATAGGTCTGGTTGTGACTGTTAAAGCACATGGGATTATTTACAAACGCCAGACTCGCCCCGATCATATATACAACCCAGAGTCTAGGTACCAGGGTCACATTCTTCATTGGTAATGTTTGCAAATCAACTGATGTGTACAATATACTAGATTGGTACCCGCTTTCCCCGGGGCTCTTTTGCTAGTAGCCGGTTTATTCCTCTATGGGTTTTCTGCACTGAAATATCACTTCATCGTGGTGAGTTCACATTTGTTTGCCTGCAACCCGATTCCTATCTATACTTCTTGAAAGTTACCTGTTTCTTATAATGCTTGACTTATCTAACAACCTCAAAGCCTCTAGTTGGCTTCGTAGTCTTCGCTGCTGGAGCAATGAATATATTTGTAGGAGGATAACCCAGTGCCTGTACCATATAAGAAATGTAAGACTAACCTAGAATATTTAGATGGCAATCCAGCTTTACATTGTGGACTGTTTTGCTTACCCTGCTTCGGCTGTGGCCACATGCAAGTTATACATTTCCAGATTAAAAATGCTATATATGCTAAGCTCGCGCAGTATCTTTTCTCCGTTTTGTCTTCGCGGGAGGCAAGTATCATTCCAACGTCCATTCATGGCCCCATAAATAGTCATATATCAAACTCTAAATTGCTCTTCTAGTATTTCCACTTTTCGGCTCGCGCCTCTTTGAAACCCTGGGGGTTGACTGGGGTGCAGGATTACTAGCGTTTTTATCGCTGGGTCTTGGTGTTCCGTTCCTCCCACTTGTTCGTAAGCCCCCTTGTGAATGGAAATTCTTGAGATCCTTGTGCTAACCGATCATATAGATATATCTGTATGGTAAGAAGCTCCGTGAGATAGGGAAACGAAACATGCAAAATATAGTCTCGCACTAGGAGCTGGTATATACCTTTGGAAGTATTGGCACAGCGATCACAAGGAACACAGGGTGGAAGTGCTGGTGTTAAGGTTGAATACGGTGTATTCCGAAATGTCAAGAAATTATTATTACACTGCTGGCGGGACTTGAACTGTTATTAGGTATTCAAGCTGGGGGATTGGAACTTGAAAATTGGGTGTAGAACAGAAATGATGCACCAAATCTGCACATTTAGAATAGCAGCAGAGAAAATGTGAACGTTGTGTGTCGTAGTTGAAAAGTGTCAGATTGTTGGTTGCAAATTGTATAGTTTTACTCCAGGTATGTTGGTGAGTGTGCGGTCTCTACTATTGATTGGAGCCACAATGGATGGTTAGATATTGGTATGTAACCCAAGAGATGGCTTTTTGGGTTAATACCCAGCCGAATTAGTGGATATGCATCAGTGATATAAAATTTATTTACAATGAATTGATTCAGGGAGTATTCAAAAGATGTAGAATATTAAGAAGTTGACTCTGATATGGTTTCAGTACATGTATTTCATTTGCACAAGAGGTTGATAGTGCATTCGGGATGGATGGAGGTGAATTTAGTTCGCGGGGTGAAGCAAACAGATAAATCATGCAGCTTGGTTCGTGGTAGGTAGCAATTTGCCATCAAAATTATTGGCTTCATGAAATATGCTCAGGTTGCAGCCTGTTGTGAAACGGTGAAATATAATGAATGCATCAAACGCTAAAAAATCGCGACAGTGGATGATGTGTATGTAATACAGAAAAAATCTGACGTCGAATAACGGCAAATAGTGCGAGAAGATAACTTTTGTACAGTTTGTCATTTCTGCCCGCTAGAATGGCCAAGTTTCTGGATGAGCGTAGCAGCTTGTTCCGCCGAATAACCAAAAAACACAGGCCCTTGAAACACCATCTTCGGTTGCACAGGAGGGGACGGAGGAGATCTGATTTCATGAGGATTGAGTGGAGTATTTGGATTGTTGGGTGGTTGAAGCTCAGGGCTTTCTTCTGTTTCTAAATTAGCTGCCAAAGAGCCAGGAAACGCTGTAGCGTTCGGAGGGACTTCTTTAGGCGTAAGAGTATGGAATGGACAACGGCCCGCAGGCAGTGACGTTTTCGATTTCCTGGGAATTGGGGTTGAGATGGATGAGATATCCGGAGCAGTCTTCTCATAATCTGCACCCGTAGGTGCGTTTGGGGAAACAATGGCACTCTGAGCGACTTCTTGAGAAATTGGAACATGGATTCCCCACGGCCTACTAGGTGACTCGCCTACTCGAACGTCTCTCAGAGGTCGTTCGAAATAACTGCGTCTTTCCTCCGCCTCACCGTCCCCTCTGTCATGGGAAGGTGACATGACCTCTTCTAATTTTGGAGACTTAGCGCTAACATCTTCAGCCCACTTCTCTACCCTTCCAACAGAAACAGACTCTGTGCCACCCGGCCTACTATGCTCTTCGGTTGAGGGAAGATACGGTTGATGATAAAGCCCTAGTCCCTTGATCATATTGACCATGTCACCATATTTCTCATCGAGTTGGCGGATGCTCTGCGAATCTTTTTGATAACGCTGAATACAAATAGTGTGGCTTCGAGGTATCTCATGCTTGTGGTTTTGGAAATATTTTGCCACTTCCTCTGGAGAGTGGTCATCTAGATATCTAATTGGACACCTGGGAACAGCATCCCGAACCGAAGCAGAATGCGTACCCTGGAGAGATTCAGCCCTTATAGGGTCATGAACTTGTGCACAAGAGTCTGAATTCCCGTTCGCCAAGGTGGAAGGGGTCGCCCCATGGCCATTTGGAATGGCAAATGGACACTGAAGATTCCCCTGCACTCCGTTGGTTGTGAAATCACGCTCAATAGAAGACCTAGCTTCGGCATCCACCGCAACAAGACATGTATTTGCATTTTGATGATGCCCATCCCGTATGTCCCGTCTGGACCGTCTATCAGCCAAACTTCTGTACGCGTCAAGTCCTTTGGCAATTGCCTCGAACTCTAGGGCTGCAAGGTAGCCAGCTTTTTCTACGTCGTAGATCCACCCAGTGGTATCTGTAGATACGTCGTAGTTGTTCTTTTGAAATGGCAGGGGTAAAATCTTCTCCGCTACTTCTGTTCTAGAAGTTGATCGATTAGGGAGCTGATCGGCGAGCTTCAGGTACTGTTGATCACAAAATTAGATAATGCCAATTGGGTAGTTGTAGTGTAAAGAGTGAGTAGAGAAAAAGGTAATGCCATATCAGCTAATACATGCAGATTGAATCGGTCACTGCCGCATAAAAGCAGCTGCTGATCTAGAGCTAATCAAAGGTTTTCTCATCATAAGGCATTGGGGGAACGGAAACTTCGAAGCAAAGAAAGAGTGACAACGTACCTCATCATGAGCAAACTGCAGTTTGCTCCGTAACTCTCTTTCCTGCCATGTCAGTTTCTGAATGGTTTCAATAAGAGTATCAAAGCCTCTGGCAAGAGCTAAGATTTGTTTGTCTTGCTCGGAGCCCTCTGCGATACGTGCAGGGGACATCCTGTAGGATCCTAGCAATGAACGTAAAAGGAGGATAGACAGCACAAGGTATGAAACATATCCCCAACTTAATGACACTGATGCATCATACTTGGATGTCTTTCTGGAGGAAATCAGGTTTGCAGGGAATAGAAATGGAATGAAGCAGAGAACATAAGAAAAAGACGCTGTTGAATTTAATATCAGTAGTCACTCGAATCAAGGACTCGATTAAGCGACCTTGGTCCGTGCATGACACTAAACCTCACGTGATTCCTCATTGTCCAACGTTCTGTCAGATATCATCAACTTCGAAACTAACATCACTGCCCTTAACAACATGCAAAACCTTCAGTATCAGCATTAAAATGCATGAGTGGGTAAGTCCTTCTTCTGTATTCTGTACTCTGAATGTTATGTATATCATCAACAGTCATATCAATAAGTCTCGTCCCTTAAAATCCATATAACTCCAGGCTACCCAAACCTCCAAAAATTTCCATATATTTTCCAACCTTGTTATGTCACTTTGCCAATCTAGCTGACAAAGGCTGGCATTTCACAGCTGTGGGGACGTCTATTCATTGTTATCAGATAGAGTCAACCGTATGGATTCGGTTCGATTACCCCGGGTTTTCGACTCCGAACAAAGCTCAACGCAAACATGGCCGGCAGTTCGATAAATCCGGTGTCGGCAGCCGCGTCGGAAGAGGAGCTTTTGGAACAGCCTTAGGCCCGGCCGACCATTCTCGCATTATCTCCTGGGCTATGGCGTTTGGTTTGCCCTAGCTTGCCCAGGTCGTTTTCAGTTTCCCGTTTGCGCCTTGTCGGACAGTTTGGATAGGATGCTGGCCTTTCTTTCCAGTCGGTGGATTCTTTCGAAGAGAATCTTGCCCCCGAAGCGGGTCTGTTTCTTCTTGTTTGCAATCATTTGTGGAGGATGTGGAAGAACCCGGGTGTTGAGGGGTTAAGGCTTGGGTTTGACGTCCGTATATCACGTGATTATAACCTGTCTTGTCAACGGTGACTCGCTCGATAGCCAAATGCTTGAATGGCAGGAAAAGTTCGAAATCATACGATATGCGACCGTGGAAACCGAATGATATGAACTGTTCATTATCTTTGACCTTGCCCACGTCAAGGGAAAGCGATGACATGGTTTCAGGGGGTCAGCCACTAATTTAGTGATGAACTGGTTGCAGGACTGAAAGCCGGGTCTCGGGGTGTGATTTTCCGCATTTTTTGGGATGAATTTACATATGGTGAGGGATGTGAGAACATTGTGCTCAGAAAGGAGATTTGAATGATGAGATGTTCAATGGGGGGGAATGGCGTGGGTTATAAGCCTCCTCGATGTGATATCCCCCGCCGCAGCCAATCAGATCTTCCCCGCTCGCTTACGAGCTGCGCATTCCGGCCTTGAGTTTCCTTCAACTCTTTCAGTCAATTCGAGTTCGCATTTATGAGGTCGTGGCTCTAATTTGACCCAACAGATCCCAACTGCCAGCTATGCAAAGGAATCTCCAATATGTTATTACCTCTTCCAAGATCTATCAGCTGACATGGATTCATCTGTTAGACTGTTCCATGGGCCAACTCCTCTCTTCCATCACTCACTCTTTTCTTTCTTCCAAATGGGAGTGATTTGACGCAGTAAACCTTGGAACTGGTTGTCATTTCCTCATTGTGCCCCTGACTATGTTGCGAAGGTTGATCTGTCCACTATACCTTCTCCACATATCCATCTGGACAGGCCTTTCCAAATCCCCCATCCCGTATGTTGCAGATTCTCGTCTGTACCCGAGGTCAGTCAGCGAAGCTGCTATATCTTCTTTACTAAATAGTGGCCCTGCCAATTCCCCAATTTATCTACTTGTCTCCCTCTGTCCATGCTGACGATATGACGTGAATGCAGCGACCTAACTCTGCAAGGCACAGACTAGTGCTGAGTTATTAACACTCCATCTTCCCAACAGTGTTCTTTTCAAAGCTGCCATATTTTTAACCCCTCACTTAAAATCTTTTCTCCCCCTTGATTCTGTTTCTGAAACATGACGTATTGTTCACCTACGTGCTCGCTCTACCTAGAGTCCCCAATCCTGGCGAAACTGGGTCCCTATCTAAAATGCTGCCTAATCACATCAATGTTCTTTTTGAGAAGTTGAATTGCCATTTGTCTTATCCAACATCTTTCCTATATTTTCCAGGGGAACCCACCGGAGTTCTGCTAAAATGTGACTACCTTTATCCTATACATGTTTTACCCCTACTTTCTCACCACATGAACGATTTCTTAGGTCAGCAGTACAATCCCCTCCCAATCCAGACGGTCCTGTCTGTATTATAAAACTTTTATGCCCAGAGGAAGTGGAATGAAGGAGCTACGTGTGGTAAAACTTTGAGTTTATGTTTATTGCTAATTGTTATCATGGCGGAGTCGAGAACTCCCCATGTACATCTAAACACAGCATAGAGGTTTGCATCAGAGAAACAATTTTACGGAAGGAAAATGGAAGAAGCAGAGTGAGAAGGAAGAGAATGGAGCTAGTTTATCTACAAGTGTTAGCATTCCCCTTTCCTAAATCACAAACAGTGAACGCCGCGATATCTACAATCTGCATATGGAAGAGAAAACACTTATATCGTTAGAGAGCAACAGTTCAACTACCAGTCAGGTGCGCTGTGCTGGCACTATCCCTATGCGTGACACATTTGACAAAAGGGAAGAATGGAAATGAAACAGGAAAGGGGAAAGGGAAAGGACACACAAATAATCCTGATGGATTATACAGGGAATGATTCCCACGCGCAGCGTACGGGTTGTGGTTTGTGAGGGAGAGCAGAGAAAATAGTTGAGTCTCGCATAGCAAGATTGTTTAACTATAACTACCCATTACAAGAATTTCTTGTCCGAAATATGCTCGCGGTGTCCCAGTAAAAAAAAATAAAATAAAATAAAAGTTGGTTCACACCAGTTCCCGTTCTAGGGTTTGACAAGTCATCAAAACGGGATCTCTGCATGCATAGTTTATTTTCTACCCTCCAGCTGATTAACTACTGGATGGAGAGAGCTTTTGAATGGGGGCAGTTAAGGAAGCGAAGTATCCCTAACCGAACCCGCTGCCCAATAATGCGGAGTACCAGCACCAGCAGCCGGTTTCCCTACAGTATTAACTCGGAGGAGACAGGTTTGTCTCCTCGTTATAATTTGTAAATTTCTGTATAATTGACATCCTGAATAATAAACAGCGAATGGCTGCAAAGAATTTTATTTTTGAAGTTCGTGATGATTGAGATGTCATTATGTATGGATGTCATTGCGTGGAATGATTCAAGAGTTCATGCTTCAAATGCCTATGGTAACTAAGAGGTAACTATCTATGCTGGATATAAAGCCAGAACAAATCTATAGGAGTACTTTTGTTCGTGAAACTCCAGTAATGAAAGAAAATGATTTGTTTGCCACGGGTAAAGCAGATACCGCGAAGTATGCTTCAAGTCCACAACATTTAACCTCTTCTCTATTTATAACTAGTTATATCACAATTTCAGCTGTTGTCTTACCTTGTGAGAAAATAAAACAGACTAATTGTACATCTGTATCCGTACTTAACAATAGATCAATGAGCAGAAAATTAGAGAACAAACTCAGCCTTTTTCCCCTGTCATGTTTTACACTGTTATCGGACGCAGAGATGGGGAGTATTCGCTTTGGACAGCATCCCCCCCTGCGCGAAAGTGACTGGCTTCGTCCTTTTGCAAGGATATCATAGTGGGACCCTGGCCGGCCGTCTGCGATTGATGAGGACGTAGGTTTGGAAGGCTGAGAATGAAGAACTTCATCAACCGTATGTTCATTCCGTCCCTAACGCATGGAGGAGTCGGGCTAATGCAAGCGGAAGGGTGGTGTCGTCTCAATGAATCAGGAGTAAGTTACCAGCGATAAGGAAAAGTCACCTAGGTAAGGTGAAGTGAGATATTTATTTGGGTCCAACATATTGGAGTTTGATGATAATAAGAAACTAAATCCCCAGGTGCCCAGGAAGTTATTACTCCGTAGTAATTTGACAGATCCATGAGGGTAGTTATGGTTTTGGGAACCCTCATTCCCACACCTTCAAGGATGTATTTGTTCCTGTCCACTTGTCGAATTCCTCGCTTTTCCCGTTTTAAAGTGGGGAATAGATAACTCTGGCGGGATGAATGAAGAATCCCGCATGTATATTGATAACTGGAAATTCGTATCAGGAGCCAGTGGTTAAGCCTTTAGATAAATCAGTTGAAAAGAACCCTCCAAAAGAAATTACAGACAGTTATGAAAGGCCCACTCATAACTAGTTACCTTGGCAGCTGTTGTCCTTTTACTGTGAATTTGTGAAATGTATGTACCTAGTTAGTTACTGTTTTTTGTGTTTTGCATCAAGATTTGTATGACAGATCACGTACATAGTTATTAGGACATCTTTATAAGTCATATGGGCAGTATAATTTATCCATCCTCTCTTGTATACTGGCTGCTGCACCAAGCCAAGAACCAAGGCACCATATGTGGCTTTGCGTGATGGTGAGACCAGAGGAAGGACGAGCATCCAATACTGTGCTGTGCCATCCCATCCCATCCCATACTCTCTCCGACACGTACAGCCATCTGCACCTCCGAATGGGTTGGCGGGGAGTAGGACAGCGGGACCTTGTAATCCAGACTGTTCCACTTAATCTTGGGGTCTGAATAATGGACGGGAATAAAAAGGATTTTAGGTTTTAAAGAGGATTTTATCCCCTTAATTTTCATTTTCTTAGCTGTGTTCTCTTCCAAGGTTACTGCTAATTTTTATCTGATCATATCATCTGTCACTGTGATTGTGCACATCACAACAACTAATTAACGACTAATCAGCAAATCTGCTTCTTCAACATCTTCTTCTTTCTCCTCTCTTCTGCTCTCTTCTTCTCTCGTCTTTTTTTCTCCTTCTTCCCCTTCGGCTCTCCCTTCATCAAGCATGAGTGACCCTCCCTCCAACCATCCGACATCCCATCAGAGTGATGCCACCACCACCCAGGTCTCCGGACACCCCTCCACCAATCCCTCCGCCACCACCGAACTCTCCAGTCTTAAGATAGAGCTTCGCGGTGCCCTCCGCCAATTCCAGGACTTCCCTTCCAAAGGCATCTTGTTCGAAGACATCCTCCCTATCTTCGCGGATGTTTCTCTCCACGAAGCCCTGATAAGATGTTTAGAACTGCACATCCTCGAAACATACGGTGAAGACCAGAAGCCTGATGTCATTGTTGGTTTGGAAGCCAGAGGTTTCTTGTTTGGCCCTTCCCTCGCGTTGAGGCTGGGGGCTGCGTTCGTGCCCGTGAGGAAGAAGGGCAAGCTACCAGGTCCGGTTGAGACAGAGACATATCAGAAGGAATATGGGCAGGATTGCTTCCAGATACAGTCGGATTCTATCAAGCCGGGAAAGAAAGTAGTTGTGGTAGACGACATTATTGCAACAGGTATGCATTGTGCTCCCTTTCTCTTGTCTTGTCATGTCCTCGTTGAACGGGTCGTTGTTTGAACAACCATTATACCCCACAACCTTGGGAAAACGCCGCTAAAGCATATAACTCTGTTCAGGCGGATCTGCAGCCGCAGCTGGAGCTCTCGTTAAAAAGCTCGGAGGCAATCTTCTTGGTTTCGTCTTCGTGCTTAATCTGGATTCCTGCAAGGGATGCGAAAAGCTCCCCGCCCCCACGTACACCATTCTGTCGACCCAATGATTTCTTCCACAATTATCAATTGAAGGAGCTATTCCTCTCGACCGTCTCGCAACCCAACTGCGGTTGATGTTTGATGTTTGACTTTTTGCTTCTTTTCTAAAAAAAAAATTGTTAGACTTTGTGAAAGTATCGTTTACGGAGTCTCCTTTAAAAAAGAAATCAGAATGTTTGAGTCCCTAATGCACCTGATTAGACACTACCTGTCATGTTTATGCCCTCTATTCCTTCCTCGTCTTATTTGACCTTCTCTGGGCTATGAGTCTATATTGTGTTTCATCTTTTACGGTATCATGTTTTCTTCCCTTGACGTCCCTAATAATAATAATGCCTTGTGTGTATTCCTCTGATTTTTGTTTTATGGTTCTGAAATATACAAATGACTGGCTGATTTGATGAAAACATTCTTTCTGAGCGTAAATAACAATGGGAATTTCTCAATGAGAAAAACTCTCTGCTCATCTGGCTGTCATCTTAACCACCCTCTCCGTTCCGTCTTCCGTTGGCATAACTACTAGCTTGGATTGCAAAAATTTTGCTTGTGAGGTTTTGGGAGAACGGCTCTTACGCTCACGCACACGCAATTTGCCCCGCGCCCTTCCTGAACGTGCAAAAGTAATATCCACACATTGAATGTACTTCGGCTCGTTCGAGTGGGATGAATTCCTTTTCGAAAACCCGCCGAAAATTTTTGATTCTGCAACCCATCGAGCTTACTAGATACGAACAAAGAATCCAACTAAACATCCTGAAAGATCACAGATACAGTTCTCTGTTTCCCTGTACCCGCGAGGAAGTATTAAACACACCTAATGCGCATCCCCGTTAATATCTGTCCATATTGATGTTGCATCCTCATACGACCAGCGTACACAAGCACCATAAATTATTGGGCTCCTTCCGAAATGAAATGCATCCACTCTTCTCTCTGGAGCTTATTTTCCACGCTTTAGCGATTCCCCCTTTTCCTACCTGCAACAATGGGTAAGAGTTTTATCACAAGAGTGGTTTGTTGGTGTGAAGGTGTTCCGGCGTTTTATTTCAAGTGTAGGTGCATTTGCATTTGAATACCTAGGTATAGTTATACCTAGGTAACTAGGTAACTGGCTGATAGTTAACCATTCAGGCTGCCTGATATGTGGGAATAAACCCTCTAGCTACTCCGGGAAGCAACATTGGCAGCACACGTTTTAATATATCTCCGGTTCTTATATCTTTATATTATGTTGATATCGTTTGAAAACGGATTTCGTCTTACAGAAAGGCAAAATGCCAGTTAAACTGTCGGACACTTCCGTCACGTGATCTGTTTTCCACAATAGTCGTTTCTCGTAGCATGCAAACTCTGCAATCAACCAAGCTTGCCATTCTGTCTTTACCTTCATGGTTATTCTGTTCTGTACACTTTTGTCTAGAGAGTTGGGGGATGGACAGGGTTAACGAGTGATGTTCCGTAGTATTTACCTCGAGCCTAGATAGAGGGTGTGATATCAGTTCTAGAAACTTCATAGTGAACTAATTATTACTAGTAGTCTCTATATTAGGCTAATACCTGAGTAGCTAAGTAGAACCCTATGCACATGTAAATTCATGATGGGAGTTAAGTGGAGTCGTAGCTGGACTCATGGAGGAGCCGGGGTTGGATAAGCATCTAGTTATCATCAATAAACGAAAGTGCTCCTTGGAGTAATAAGTATTTCTGAATTCTACAAAAACGTAACTATAAGGGTATAAATTAACCTCTTGCTAACAAAGTACAACTTCGTCTCAGTTCTAAAAAATAAATAAATATACATTCTACTCTATGACTCTAGCCCCGCATCTGGCCCATTCGGTATAAACCTCCTCATAACCCTCTCCACCCAGTTAGCGTCAGCAGGAAACCCCAGCGCCTCCGCCTCTCTAATTCCCCTGTTCATGCGCCTTATATACTCCTGCTTCGGCGGACCCTCCTTCACTTTATATTCATTAACATACACCAAAACCGTCAGCTCCTGCGCCTCATCCCACTCTAGATTCACACTCTCATCCAACCACTTAACCACCGTCGCAGGAACATACCACTTATTATAACTCCCCTTGCCCTGTTCGCGAGGGCGCATATGTCTGCCAACTGGGCCATCTGGCGGGGTGGGTGGTGCTGAACGGTCCACTCCCTCATATCTGTCCAAGAGATCTTCATCCTCAGGGGTCATTTTGTAAAGAACTCCGTAAACAACTTCGTCGTCAGCTTCCAGAGATGGATTAGAAAGAGAGTCCGGAGGCAGAACGTTCGCATACCCGGCCTCACATATGAACCACTTCCACCGGTCTAGGCGCGCGATCGCGAGGGGCTTGGCTGAGATGGCTGGATTAAAGACGCAACGCTGGCACATTTGGGAGTGGGAGAGATTAGAACCATATGCAAAGTAGAAATAATCGTTAGGCTGGGGTGGAGAGGATGCAATTTTAAGAGGTGCGTCGAGGGATGGTTCCGAGATTACGGTTGTTGTTGTTGTAGTAAATGAAAAGGGTGCAGCGTCTACAACTGCTGCCGCTATTGGACCTGACCGAGAGAGTTCAGAGGTCTCTTCGCGCATCTTTCTATCCTGTCTTGCCTTTCTTGTTTTCTCAAGGTTCTTTCGTATGCTATGCGGGTATAAACCGGGGGAGTTGAATATGCTCGAGCGACATACGGCCCCGCGTCTGTAATAATATGTTTGAACTGCGTCAATGTTTAGGATTGTAGATCAAACCAAGATGGTTGGTGGCGGGATCTAAATCCGAAGCCACGTGACCAACAGCTTTCCAACCATTGGTGCTAGAGATTGATCTTAACCGTTCATAAAGAGCTTTATTATCCCATCAAATACATTATGAAAAGAAAAGAACCCAAGAATTCGTCAAAAGTTCCTTTGAAAATGCATATCTATTCTAGAGAATTAAACAAACATATCCAAATCATTTGCAAATATAATAACAACACACACTCCATTTAATGAATTCAACCTTCAATCAGAGATATCACATCATCATATACCTTGATAACATGATTATATAAATACTTCAAGTCTTGCAAAGAGCTAACAATAATTCCTCTGTCCCCATACAGGAAAAGAATGTCTCGTATAGCTCTGCTAAGTGGTTTGATACGCTCAATTACTAGGAAAAACTCGAGTAAAATATCCTCAAACCCTTTCGCATCCATGTCATTTCATTTATTTCTTGTGATATGCTCGCGGGTATCAGTATACCACTTTGTCAGTAAACTGTCTTTCAGTGGAGGAAAATTCATTCATAAAAATACACTTAATTTCATAAGTTTCTATGTCTTTTGTTTGATATTTGTGGTTTTCTCAAGACTTTAGTGCATTCTTTCTTTAGCATAGTTAACTAGTTAGTTACTATCTTCAGACTGGTCATATAACTGATATAACTTCTGCAATTGCTTTAAATTTTCTCAACTATGAAATGCATATTGCCAGATATAAACACATAGAGAAAAATGACATGAGATCGTATCAGTAAATACAGTCAATAGTAAAGTAGCATATCAATCATTATTATCAGATATCAGCCTTTAGCGTTGAAGCTATTCTGGAAGCACTAGTTCTCACTATGCCAGCACTGCAGTTGTTATCTCTTATATTACACCATCATGTATATGAAATCTTCTTCCCCCCCCCCTTCCCTCAATCAGAAATAAGATAATTCAATTTCTCAGTATATAAATGTAGTTCAATCTCTCATAAAACTTACTCACTTTTAGAGACAATAGCATGCAAATAATATATCTCTATCACATAAAGAATCATACATAACATATATACTTCTATAATTATAAACTATATTATGCTGATATGATATTATGTATTACTTTATCTACTTCTAGCTTTTTTTGTAAGTTTTATATTTTTAAAGATATTTTTGTAATTTCAAGACTTCTTATACTAGCTCCTTGCCCTCACACTGCTTATCTATATCATGGCTCAATCTAGAGTCAAGATGAAAATAAGACAGAGCTTCAATTCATCTATCTAACTAGGTAGCTTGCAACGAGAATACTAAACTGAGAAATAGAATATAGAATAAAAAGATAATAGAATATGAAGAGATTGAGGACAGACTGAATCAATCTTAATTCATATTACAAGCAGCTGTGCTGTAACAATCTAAGACACTTTATGAAGAATCAGATTACCTCACTGCTATTTCTCCATTCTATAAAAGATTAAAGATAAAATCTATTGTCATATATTTATGTATATAAACACTCTGAATCCTCTAAATTTCTTTCAAGAGATTCAGTGATTAGCTACTGTTACAGCGCGACTACTTGTAATATGAATAGTTAATATTAATCTGCTCTGATTCTCAATCATCTTTTCATATTCAGTTGCTTGTTCATTCCACATTTTAATCCCCAGTTTAGTATTCTCATCACAAGCTACCTAGTTAGATAGATGAATTGAAACTTTGTCTTATTATCATTTTGACTCTAGAGTGAGCTGTGATGGCTTCTATTCAATTTTATATCTATGTTTTTACTTATCACTATGCTCTTTTCTTTATAGTGCTTGCAGTGTCTATCTTTCTACTCTTTTATGATATAGTGCTTCTCACATTTTCTTTTGACATTTCGTTCATTCTAAGCTTAGCACATATTAATAGATGATATTTACTTTATCACTTCAATCTTTCTTTTCAAAATACTTGGCAAAGAAGTTCTCAGATAATTTTAAAATGTGCAGTTACAACTATGTTGTAACTCAAACTAGAATCAAGATAAACAAAATAGGAACTTCAATGCATCTATCTAACTAGACAGCTGCGACAAGAATACTAAACTGGGAATTGAAATGTGGAAATGAACAAGAAGCTGAATATAAGTAGATAATTGAGTATCTCTAAGCAACTGAATATGATTGAGATTGAAGTGAATAAATCTTAATTCATATTATCAGCATCTGCGCTGCAACATTATATCTTCTCAAAGATTCATGAATTAACTAATTTATATTTCTGCTTATAGTCTTTGTGTGATAAAAAGATAGATCTGATTAAAGTTTCTAAAGAAGTGAGAGATATGCTAGTTAGAGAAGTTAATTATCAGATGATAATTATAAAGTTGACAGTCTGTCAAATACTGATGTACTAGCACTTTTTGAATAATGAGCCGCGCCAAGATATAATAATAGTTGTAGTTGATGTGATTATGTCTAAAAAATCTTAACAAATCTACCAGGTCACATTCAATATTTTCATTACTTGTTTCTAAATAAAGGTTTAATTTAGCTTTTCTTCTCTTATAAAATGTAAAAAGAAGTTTTGTTATTACTTTATAGTAGATTTTATTTTGATGATCAGCTGAGATATTGTACAGACATTCTGTTTTTTGAAGAAATTCTTCTAAATGTTTTAATCATTTAAAAGAATGCTTTTTGATAATAGTACAATTATAGTGTGAAAGCTAAATCATAATTTAAGTGTTGCAAACACACTTTAATACAAGAATAGTCTTTAACTGGCCAGTATTGATGTTGCATATATTGTATTAAGAAAACTATATTTAAATTTTAAAGAAAGGTAACAATAAGAAAGTAAATTCTCTAGTAGAACTTGCAATATTATCATGATTACAAGATCTAGCACAATCATGAGACCTAGTCAAAAACAATCTTCTTGATATTAATATCTTCTATTAGGGACTACCTCTCTACGGCACCACCACTATTTCAATAAGGATATTCATATTACTCTAATGACGAAGCGACCATCTTTTCTTTGTATGAGATAATTATCTTACCTTGTATGAAATGACAACATAACTATCATATAAATGACTGGATGATCATCTCTACGATCATCTCTATGAAAGATATCTCCACTTCTTGATCAGATAGAGTGGTATCTGAGTGTATTTATAAAGAAGAGAAGGCTGATGAAAAGTTTATAGAGCTAGTTATCTGACTTACTGTTTAGAGGATCAGCAATTCATTCATAATATATCAGATTCATTGAAGACGCATATAATCCTCTCTCTACTTATTAGTATTCTTGATCATTTAAATTTCTTTTCAGTTCTAAGACATAAGCTCATCTGCTTCTTTAGCTAGTTAAGTCTCCTCATTCAGCTTCCCATCAAATAACTCACGTGATGGCATTGTTGACTTCTCATCTTAGCGTTATCTTCTTATAAATATATGATTTTAAGTCTAGAAATGATGTCAATTTAAATGTGATATAAGCTCACAGCTAGTTTAATTGATGATATCAAAAATACTAATTAGATGTCATTTGATATGAAATCAGATGATGTGTTTGAATTTTAAATATTATCTTATTAGATTTGAGATACTTGCTATGAGATTTAAATTCACAATTCTTGTTTTTCTATAATAATATAGTGACTATGTTAACTATTCAGCCACTAGAAATACTTGAAATATATAAATATAATAAAACTCGCAGCTATTTTAATTAATAATACTTTAAAATATAATTTAATGTTGATATAACTCAAATAATATGCTTAACTTTTAAATACTATCTTCCACTCAGATTTAATATATCTTCTATAAGATTTGAACTTATAGAGTTTGATTTTAAACTTTAAATATTACTCAGTAGTAACTTTAACTATTCAGTCATTAGAATTATAGAATTTATATTTCTAAAGTTAATATACAAAGCTTAATTGAAATAATAGATATAGTTTGAATTTAATATTATTCAAAATATATACTTTTAAAGTACTTATTTTATGATATATATAAAAGATCATTAAGACTTAAAATATTAAAAGCAGCTTTGCAACTATGAAAATAATTTTATTTAAATATAATCAGATTATTTGAAAGGTAGATATTTAACTTTGAATTAATATTTTTTTTATATAATCTATCTAGTTACTTTCAATCACTTTGAAATTTAAAAATATATAAACTACTATTAGTTGTAAAAATAAATAATAAGATCAAAATTTTATAAAGTAAGATAAGATCTTGATTAAATTATCAAGATTTGTGAATTCAATATAATCAATACTTTTGTAATTAATAAGTAAAATCAGAAAATATTTACTAATAAAATATAAAATTTTTATATATAGAATTCACATTATACTTCATGAGCTTTTTTTATAAAATAGAAATTGCAATACTTTTAAATATAAAAAATACACTTTTTTGATTAATAATTAAATTCAATTTAATTTAATTTAATTTATAGTTATTATATAAAAATACTTTAAGTTAATTCTAGTTAGTTAAAAAACATATAATTTAATAACTTATTTATTTCACTTATATATGAATTATATTATTTCTATTTAATAAGCATCAATCATAATAAAATAAATTAAACTTTATTTATTTAATATTGCAATAAACTAATACTCAATTAGCATTCTTTCATAATCAAATAGTCTATACTTAGAATATCTCTTTTTCACTTAGATTATTCTTCTTTCATTTTTATCATTCATTCTTTTTTCTTTGTTCTTCTACATGAATTTGTCTTTTGTTATATAAGAAAGTGCTAAAGCTATATTCAGTAGCACATTCATTACAGATATTTATTACGGCGCAGTCACGAGTAATATGGGATAAAGTTGATCTATTCTAACCTCAATCATATTTGATTGCTCTCATTGATTCGCTCCGCTCCGAAGATTGATTCATTTCAATCCTCAATCATATTCAGTTGCTTAGGTTGATCCGCTCTGATTCTTAACCTTATATGTATATTTAACTACTCATTCATTCTTATATTCTAATTCTCAGTTTAGTATTCCTGTGGCAGCTACCTAGTAGATATATGAATTGAGCTTTTGTCTTGTTATCATCATGCCTCTAGACTGAGCCATGATAATATTCAGTAATTTTAAATACAAATTAATTTATTTTAACTATTTTAATTATTAAAAGTGAAAAATTAAGTTAGGGAGAAAGTGTTAAGCTTATATTTGAATATATATAATAATACTACTTAACAGCATGTGAGTTATGATATCTACTCTGAATTGCATTTCTACATTGATGTTTAGAATTACTGGTTTATATAAATCAAGCAAGTCAAATAATTAATATATTTCTCAAATGAGCATAATATTCAAATATGTACAACATCAAAACCATTAGAGCTCAACTCATTAGATTTTAATTCAAATTATCTCAATGCTACAACACTCAATTAAATTAAATTAAA